TTCCTCCTCTAATCTGACGGCCAGTATGCATCTGATCGAATGGCCATGGACCGGTCTGATACGAAGCAAGCATCAGTAGTCTGATGCCTAGTGCTTCCCCTCTTTAATTCCGTTTCACCACGCATGCCAGAGCCATTTACTGGGTCTTTCCTTTCTCTCATTGCCCACCATAATCTCCCACAAACATGCAAGTCCCTCTTTAATTCCTTTTTTTGTTAGCGATTTTCTATTCTGCCATTTCCCTCATAATGTCCCATCTCGCCTCTGTGTACTGATTTTCTAGTCTATTTGTTAATTTAGACACGTGCTAATGTATATAATTTGGTAAAGTTTGATGTAAAAATCCATACGGGACTATTTAATGGATAAACCGAAATTACTGTTATCTTGCCTCGCTTAGGCCTTGGACTGGAAGAACAAGCCCAAATAGAGGTGAGCTGCATAGTTAGGCCGACACAAGGCCCATCTCCCCCTCAACCCTAGCGTCACGGGGGAGCATCTGTTCGATGGCAAATCCTATTTGACGCCTGCAGGCGTCAAAAAGACGTGGCTTCGCTGAAGCCTGGCCACCCTCGCTCCAGTTTTGGGCCAGCCCACGGTCGCTCTGACTTTTCTTCTTTTTCCTGCTTCTTTCATTTTGTTTTTGTTTCTTTTTTTCTTTCCTTTTTACTTTTTGTTTCATTTTTCGTGTCTTATACACAGTTCATTGCAAGTGTAAAAAATGTTCTTCTATATTTAAGAAAATGTTCACCCTATATTAAGAAAAGGCTCAACATATTTTTCGAAAATGTTCATTGTGTATTTAAGAAAAATTCAACATATATTAACAAATAATTTCAATGTGTACTTAAATATGGTTCAGCGTATATCACTAAAACTTTTAGTGTGTATTTAAATATTGTTCAGCGTATATCACTAAAATGTTCAATGTGTACTTAAATATTTGTTCAGCGTATATCACAAAATGTTCAGTGTGTATTTAAAATTTGTTCAGCCTATATCACAAAATGTTCAATGTATATTTAAAAATTGTTCAACATTTGGAAATTCAAAATGGTGGTTCATGTTTTCAATAATTTTCACATTTTTAAAGTTTGATTGAATTTGTAAATTTCTTCACGGTTTTCATTCATTTATTCAAAAACTTTCATTTTTTTCCTGAAGAAATGTTGAAAAGTTCGAGAAAAGAAACGGATCTGCCATGTACATAGTACTTTAACTGATCAGGCGATGCAAATTGGTTCTTAAATCCTGGCGCTGCAATTCTAGCACTAACTCGTGTGGTCTATTGGTTTCGAAGAGGTATCACCTATCGGGAGGTCACGAGTTCAAGTTCTCACTATCGCAACTGCTTTCTGTCTAGTTTTTTTTTGCGCGGGCCGGCCCATTCGCGGTTCTCTTCAGCGAAAGGTCGTCATTTTGACGCTAACGGGCGTCGAGTAGGGACTCTCCTGGGGAGCTCCTATGCGCCGCTCATTGCGGCAAACAGTCGGCCGCCCGCACAGGAGTGCTCCGACTGGGCCGGCCCATGTATAGCGCAAAAAAATCCCCAAAAAGAAGTAAAATGTAGCGGCTAGGGATCAAACACACGCCACACAGTTGATTACACGAGATGCTAGCCACCACACCAACTGGGAGTTCATGGTAACTATCTGCGCGCATCACTTTTAATATACTGTGATAGTATAATGTACAGATTTGCAGGATCATATTTGCAGTAGCGTACATATTTTTCAATTTTGCACACATTTTAGAAAACACGAACAATTTTTTGGAAAATTTCAGATTTCGGAATAGTTTTTGAATTACATAAAAGAATTAGAATTGCATGCAGTTTTTGAAAATTTCAGAAGATTTTTGAGAAACAAGAACAAATTTGTAAACATGTTTTTTTTAAATGACAAACATTTTTTGAAATGTTTCATACATTTTCTGAAACGGAGAACAAATTTTAAATAACGAACATTTTTTGAATCTTGAGAACAAACTTTGAAATAGAGAACAAATTTGAAAGCATGAACTTTTTTGAATCTTGAGAACAAATTTGAAAACGGAGAACAAATTTGGGAGCGCAAATAATTTTTTAAAGCACAAACATTTTTTTAATCTTGAGAACTAATTTTAAAATGGAGAACAAATTTGAAAAATCCCGAACAAATTTGGAATTGCGAAAAAAAAACTAAAGCACAAACATTTTTTTAATCTTGAGAACTAATTTTAAAATGGAGAACAATTTTGAAAAATTCCGAACAAATTTGGAAGTGCAACATTTTATGAAAACGGGAACAAAAATTGAAATCTGGTACATTTCTGCATTTCGAAACTTTTCAACTATTTGTGTAACGAGAACAATGTTTGAATCTTGAGAACTTCTTTTGAAACTTCAACATTTTATGAAAACACGATTTTTTTTGAATATTTTGAAATTCTTTTGATAAAAAAAGAAGAAATGGAAAGGAAAAAGAAATAAAAAAACCAAAGAAAGAAAGGAAACAGAAAAATCGAAAAAAGAAAAAAGAAACAGAAATAAATAAAAACGAAAAGAAGAAGAAAAGAAAAAAGAAAACTAGAAAACAAAGGAAAAATAAAAAGAGAAACAAAAAAAGAAGAAGAAGAAAGGAAAACGAAAACGAAAAAAAAACAGAATACACAGGAAAAAACTGGGTTCAGATTTGGGCGTACTGTGTAAAGCTTGAACTGGGCCGGCCCATCTCCTGTCTCAAGCATGCTTGCCCTCTGCGAATCCCCGGCACTTCGCCGCAGCAAGCGGCGAATACGGTTTTCCACTCTCCTGTTCGATCCCCGTCTCCCCCGAGCGCAATCACGCGCAGGAGACGGCAGCGCCCACTCCCGATCCCCCTCTCTCCCTCGATCCCTCCCATGGCGCCACATCCTCGGGAGGGAGCTGCGCCTCCCATGCTCGCGCACCGACCCACCGCCCGACTTCCATTCCAGTGGAGCTCCGTTGCCCTTCTTAGCCCCCTGTTTCTCCCCCTCGCCTCGGCTTCGTGCGCGGACCCGACCTTCGCGGCCATGGCCGGCAGCCGAGCAGCCCCTGCCAAGCCCCTTCCGTCGTCCTCGGCCCCGGCTACCTCTACCATGCGCGCGCGACCAGCACCACCTTGGTCCACCGAGTCGCCCTGCTCATCTCATCTCTGTTTTCCCTCAAAACATTTTTTCCAGATCCACTAAAGTAGGGAGTGCGGGTTCAATATAAAAAAGCAAACGAACCTTTGTGTAAAAAAGCCACGACGGTGAACCTTAGGGAGAGATTTTACTTGTTTGATTTCCTTTTCCGTTTTCCTGTTTTTTTCTTGTTTCTTCTGTTTTTTTTATTTTCTCTATTTTGATTTTGCATTTTTTCTGTACAATATTTTCTTTCAATATATAAGATGAACAATTTTGAAATACGTATTGAACATTTTTCTAATATACATTGTACTTTTGTAATATAGAGTGAACTTTTTTAATGTATGACACCATTTTTTAAGGGTGTGTCTAGGGCACATCTAGATTTGATGTAGTTATTGCACATGTAAGTGAGTGAATCAAGTATAAAGAGGAAAAGAAAAAAGGAAAAAAAATATCCGCACGAATCTTCCTGCTCGAAGCGTTTTCTTTCTTCTTCTCTGTAGCATGTGCAGAAACCTACAGCAGGAAGCTCCGCTCGCCTCCCATGGTGGCTAGGACTGGCCAAAGCAGTAGGGGGTATCATGGGTTCCCAAAATTTATCTGGGGCGGCCGCACCTACACGACCCCATGCTGGATCCGCCCCTGCATAGGCATCGCCGCTCACGTTATCAAGGCCGAAGTGGTCCTAAAGTTTGGTTTGGAGGCCAATCATTTTGCTTCAATTGTAGAGAGGCTGAACGGCACACTATGTTGTTTATCCTTGGTTGTTTGGCTTTGATGGCTTCCCTAACGGTGCTATGGTGATATGGTGGAGCTTGGGGATGGTGTCTGTGACATCATGAACGAGGTGGCTCGGCAACGTCTTCCGGAATTAAGTCCTTCTCATTTTGTCTTTGCCGCGACGGCTGATCAATCACCGCCATCGATAAGTGAGTGGAGTTTCAGCTCCAAGGAGCAATGCGTGCTAGCACTGGCGGAGCTATGTATTAGCAAAATCGGCCATGGCCCGCCCAGGCCATTGGAAATGCACTGCAGATTGACAGTAATTTGGGCCATGAGAATAAAAATAACGGGCCTTTGTTTGTACCGGCCCGCCCAGGTTTGGTACTGTAGCTCCGCCAAGTCATGATGTGGGCTATGTACTTGTGCTAGTTGACACTAACCTTATGGAGGCGGCATGCTTCTCCAAGTTCTCCCGGGAGATGGTAGTAACTAGATCTACGTCGCGTCAAGCCCGGGGTGAAACCCCTACAAATATGCACGAAGATGATTGTCTCCGTCTTTTGAGGTTGGCTTTAATTGTGGTGATCAATGCAAACAATCGGCAAAGGGCATATGCTATTTTGGCAAACCAGCAGTCGACTTCGGGTGAAGTCCTTGGCCCAGACGCCAATGAGAGCAAGGTAGCGTCCGACGAGATACGGGTTTCTTGTTTGGGATTCCAACAACAACAACAACAACAACAACAACAACAACAACAACAACAACAACAACAACAACAACAACAATCTTTGGTCCGAAGCAAGTTGGGTATGAAAAATGGACGATTGTTCGCAACAATGATTAATGTTCATATGTACATTGCACCATGGAGAACAGTTACCTTGCACTATACAGATACATAACATATATACTCGAGCCACTACCCCACGCAGACAAATTTGTTGTTAACCGAATGGAGAATCTTTTACCATGATCAAATTTGTTGTATACTATCAGGATTGATGCAGGCCAATCGGATCAAAGCTGCCTGGCTGGGCAGTCACACACACTTGCATTGCATGCATGTCGATCTTGATTCGAACTGTGGGATCATGCATGGCTTTTCCAGACGGATCCAAGATTATTTATTTATTTTACATAGGTGCTTAGGCGGCGTTGTTGCCGCCGTTGAGGTCCTCGAAGCTCCAGTCCCGGCGGATGGCGCCGCTGCGCCGGAGACGCGGCGTCGGCGGGGCCGCGTCGCCGAGCCGCGCCACGTCCACGTCCGCCACCGACGACTTGCACTTGCGCACCATCTTCTTGATCATCGTCCTGGTCGCCGCCGCCGCCCTCTTGGTCGGCGTTGTGGCCTGCTTCTGCATCTGCTTCTGCTGCTGCTGCTGCTGCCCCTCCCCCTCCTCCGGCTCCTCCTCCTCTATAGGGCCGTTGTCGTCGGCGTGCAGCATCATGGCCGCCGAGCCGGGCGTCCTCACGGGGGCGAACCGCGACTGCGTCGGCTTCCCGTCCGCCGGGAAGCCCCGCTGCAGCGCCGTGCAGCAGGTGGCCGTCTGCGGCTGCGGCGGGCCGTCGTCGGCAGCGCCGGCGCCGCGGCTGGGCGCCATGTTACACGTCAGGTGCGCCGACATGCTCTTGCTGCCGTTCGCCTTCATCAATCCCCGCGCCGCGCCTGCGCAGGTACGTGGGTCGAACAGAAACGCGCGTAGTAATTAGTTGGACAGAACGAGGAACGTCCGGCCGGTGAGCTCCATGGATGGATCCATTTTATCCTCTGCATGCATGCTAGGCGGCACCCGACCTCCGCGGGCTAATTATGGACGTGTGCACCTAAATCTGGATGGACATAGCTGCAACACGTGTCTCTATTTTTTTTCAAAATATACACTTCAGTAGAGGAGTATATACAATGTTCCTTCAAATACTCGCCACAATTCTTGTTCAATTGTGGCTCCTATCTTACTTGAAATTGGAGAGCTAGTTATCAATTTCTCTTTGTTTAATGTACTTCATATAAATCGTTTGGCTAACGTTCCGGCTCATCTTTGTGTTGAACATGCCTGCACATTGAATGTGACCGAATGATACCTAGCTTCCTAGTGACCAGCTTGATGACTGATTGTCCTAGGTCTGCTGTGATTTAGTAAAGCTCTCTTGATTACCGCAAAAAAAAAAGATCTTCTTTCAGAAAAAGGCTAGCTCTCAACTGCGTCGTGCCGTCCGCCGCCGCGCGCGCCTGACACATGTCCTTGCAGGAGCTCAGTCAGATTTTGCAACGTGTTGCAAGTCATGTCGTCTGCTGCCCCGCGTACCTGGCACATGTCTTTGTGGGAGCTCATTCGGATTTTACAATGCGGGTCATGCTGCAATTGCAACACAGGTCATGTTCAAAGGAACAGGCAGTGCAAGGCGTGTTATATGTGTCCGTGTGACCGTGTGGGAGCTCAGCATGTGCTTGCAACATGGCTCATGTTGCAAAGGACGAGGGTAGCGTGTGACGTGTGTGTGGGAGCTCAGCCTGAAATTGCAACATGGCCAATGTGTAGTTGCAACACGAGGCATGCTGCAAAGGACAGGGTAGCAGCCGAGACGGTTGAAACATAGACCACGTTGTAACAAAGATGTTGTTTTACATGAACATTAGGAAATGGTTCAACAGAGCGCAACACGCTTCGTGTTGCAAAGCCCCGAACACAACACCAGCCATTTCACAAAAGGTTCGTCGTCTGTCTCGCAGGCCATCCAATGACTGTCCAGGCGGTCGATACGATTCGGTTATCATCTTGCTGGCAAAAAATTAAGTTTCTGAAGAATTTTTTAAGATTTATTGAGGGTATTTAATTTATTTATTTTTCTCTTTTCTACTTTTTCAAAAATTTCAAAAAAATAAACAATATTCGGAATTTCTAGAAATTTTTCAAAATTTTGAACTAAGGTTAGTGTTTGAAAAGGTATTGGAGAACTTGAAAAAATGTTCAGTTTTTACAAGAATGCTCTAAATTTGGAAAAATCTTCAAAATTATGAAACGGGTTCAAGTTATCAAAACCAATCGTGATGTATACATTTCTTTCAAAAACCCATTTTAAAAATTGTCCAATTTGCCAAAAAATTCAAAATTTTGTAAAAATGTTTCCGTTTAAAATACCTATGCTTTTCTAATATTTTTTGTCATTCCGAAAAATTGCAAACTTTGAAAGATGTTTCTGTGTAAAAAAAATATCGAAGCTGTGAAAACATGTTCACGTTAAAATGTTCACAAGTTGAATAATATATTAAAATATTTGAAAAAAATATATTTTCCGAAAAATCAAACTATAAAAATATATTATCTCTATATTTAAAAAAATGAAAATAATAAAAATGCTAGAGAAAAGCAGCCACTACAGACATATCAAGCTGGTCTATTAGCTTACGTCGGTCGCTCCATTTGCTACCTTCAGATTGCTCCCTCGCTTGGTGGATATATCGATTTTCTTTTGATTTTTTCTACTTTTCGTTTTCTTTTGTTTCTTCACTGGTATTTTTTTTATTATATATGTTCTGATCTCTATTTTTTTCCATACACCTTGTACATTTTTCGTATACATATGAAACATTATTTTTATGCATGTTCAACATTTAAAAAATACACAATTAACATATACCTAAAATGTATATTTTGATGTCTGCGTTTTTATATAAATCAAGAATACTTTTTATACATGGTTAACAATTTTTAAATACATGATTACATTTATAAATACAATGTTTAATGTTTTTTAGAAATACTTGTTTGATGTCTACTTTATGCCACACACAATTGTACATTTTTTATACACAACTGAAATATTTATTTTATATGATTTTAGTTTTTTTGAAATACATGATAAAGATTTTTTCAAAACACATGTTTTTCAACATTGTTGCTTGACTATATGTTAAACAGTTTTTTCAAATAAGTGTTGAAATAGTTTTTTGAAATAAGTATTGAAACATTCTTCCACATGCTATCAACATTTTTTTAATAGTTGCACCAACCTATTTTAACACTGCACAAACAATTTTTCTAACATACTATAAAAAAATTGTAGTTGCACCAACACTTGTTTTAACGCTGCACAAACAGTTTTTTTCAATCTTAAGTATGTTTCTGACATATTGGTATATTGAAATATTTTTTGGAAAATCTAATAAAAAATAAAAAATGAAAATGAAAGAAAAAAGAAAAGCGAGATCAAATGAAAGACCGAACGAAAGGAACGAATGAAAAAGGATTGAGCGAATAGCGCCACAGAGCTGGCCCATTACCACATCGGTTCGTGCAAGTGCAGTTGTTTCGCTAGAAGCGAGACATAGCCTCGTTGTTCTCCTATCCGACGCTTACGGTTTGTCTCGCTATAAGTGAGACATAGCCTGGTGGAAGCTAGTGGGCCGGCCTATTCACGCAGGAAAAACTATAAAAGTATACTCTTCACCGATCAAAGATGAATTAGATGCGACACACACCAGACCCAACGGCCAAGCTTGTCATCTATCAAAAATGATATCTATTTGACCCTTCTTCTAGACATATAGTATATACCTCAATTAATTAGTTAAAAGTACTTCACAAAAAAAGACTATGAATTCTCCAAAAAATTCAAATATTAGAAAAGATTCATGAAAATAGAAAAAGTTCTTTAATTTCGAAAAAGAGATAATCCATTTTGGAAAAAGTTCACAATTGAAAAAAAAATCATTGATTTTGAGAAAAGTTAACCAATTTTTAAAAAATCATCCAATTTGAAAATTTCAATATTTTTGAAATAAAAGTGAACAAATTTTAAAAAAATTAATGAATTTGAAAACATTTCATTGAGTTTAAGAAAAGTTCATCGAATATGATATTTTTAGTCCCCCAAGTTCTAATGAGCAAATTTATTATGATGATAGCATGCCTCCTATTTATGATGATTGTATTCATGAAAGTGGATTCAGAGAGGTCATGACTTTATTTAATGAAGATTCCACAATTTCAGAAGAGGGTCCAATTGATTATTGGAACAAAGTTGCCATATATGATGATTATTGTGATGACATGTATGCTATAAAGAATAATGATAATTATGAAACTTGTCATCATGATTTTAATTTCAATTGGATTATGCCTCATATGATAGTTATTTTGTTGAATTTGCTCCCATTATTATGGATGAGAAGAATTTTGCTTATGTGGTGAGTAGTAAAATTTCTATGCTTGTGGATCATGAAAAGAATGCTTGATGTGATAGTTGCATTGTTGAATTTATTCATGATGTTACCGAAAATTATTATGAGAGAGGAACATATGCTTGTAGGCTTCTCAATAATATCAAGTTTCCTCTCTTTTTGTTGAAAGTTTTGAAGTATTGCTTGTTTTGTCTTCCTATGCTAGTTGATTCTTGTTCCCATAAATTGTTTGCTCAAAAAATCATTATGCATAGGAAGTGGGTTGGGCTTAGATGTGCTAGTCATATGCTTCATTATGCTCTCTTTATGTTTCAATTCTTATCTTCTATGTGAGCATCATTGAAATCATCATGTCTAGCTATAAAGACATTAAAGAAAAGCACTTGTTGGGAGACAACCCAATATTTACCCCTACTATTTTTGTCTGTTCACATGATTAGGATACCGTAGTAATCATACTTTAATGCTTTTGTTTCAATAAAGTTCCAAGTAAAGCCTTCGGGATACTGTGGATGATAGTTGACTTGATTCTGTGCAAAAACAGAAACTTTTGCTCTCAGTCTAGAAATTTTGAAAATTCACAGGAATGTGATTTTGATCTGAATTTTTGACACATGGTTGATATACAAAATTTTTACATTGTCCTAATTTTTCAGAATTTTTGGAGTTCATAAGTATGGTGGTTGTTCAGATCATTACAGACTGTTCTGTTTTTGACAGATTCTGTTTCCAATACATAGTTTGCTTTTTTTATTGTTTCCTTAGCTTATATTAAGTGATATAGATTGTGGAAATGATAAGGTACAGTAGGAATTATGTGGAAACAATTATGAATCTTGTCTTGGCAGTACCAAAGTGAATGATTTGTCTTTATCATACTAACCCATCTCACGAAGTTCCGTTAAGTTTTGTGTGATTGAAGTTTTCAAGTTTTGGGTGAGATATCGATTCGAGTAGAATAAGGAGTGACAAGACCCTAACCTTCGGGATGCCCAAGGCACCCCAAGGTAATATTCAAGGAAGATCCAAGCAACCAAGTTTGGGGATGCCCTACAAGGCATCCCCTCTTTCGTCTCTAACATTATCGGTAACCTCACTTGGAGCTATATTTTTAATCGTCACATGATATGTGTTTTGCTTGGAGCATCATTTTCTTTTGTTTAGATTTGCTTGTTGTTATTTAGAATAAGGTTATGCATCATTTATTTCAATAAAAGTGTTAAGGATAACCTTCACCATGCACAATTTGCAAGTATATGAGTTGCTGTTTCAAGACAGAAAGTTTATCACTGTTACAAAAATTCCCTACAAAAATCAGATTGTGATAAAAGCTTGAAATTTTACACAATACGAGTTGATAAATTATCTACAATGTGGTAAATTTTCAGAATTTTTCGAGTTAAATAAGTATGGATTTTTCCTTATTCCTTAATAGACTGTTCTGTTTAGACAAATTGTTATTATGTT